TAATGTATCAATTTTTTTTGTTCTTTCTAAAACTATTGTATGTATTTAAAACTTAATGTTGTTATGGTGATAACAATGCCACGATGGAAAACATTGGGTACGTTCAGCAGGTGTCAACAGTTGAATTAAATCAGTCAGCTAGTTGTATGAGCTTTAATACAGCGGAACGAAATCGGCTGAACAAGCAATTGAGAATTAGTAGTTCAGCATAACCTAAAACTATGGCCAACAATAATATTTTTGAAAATTTTGTGTTATTACAAGAGATAATGGATGATGATGTTGATTTTAAGGCTCATTTCATTTTATACAGTTCTGCCAGTTTTCAAAATTAAAGGGGAGAAACAAATAATATTAATCCTAACCTAGAATTTCACAACCGCTGACAAACTAAGCGCAGATTACTTACGCTGAGATATTTACTAAACAGCTGCGTAACAGCGCTGACTTAGTGTATCGTTCAGTCGCAACTGCTAATATAGCAACTCAACAGTTGACACCAGCGTGCCCATTGTTTCCAATTATTGCCAAAGTTTGTAGTAGTATTTAAAAATTCACTAACAACTCTGGTATTATGTGCTGGTGCTCCGTCATATTGAAAATATATCATTTGAGACTTATTTAATGGCAAATTGTCGACCAAAGGCACAATGTGCTACCTTGATATATTGAGGTATTACCGGAGTTTAAGTTTTTATGGTAGATACTATATGCTAACATTCTATTATCTAAAAGGACACACCATACATTGAATCCCAACTTTCTTGAGAGACTTCATTGGTCCAGATGACATTTTGAACAAACAGCAGATTATTTAATTTTTCTAAATATCATCTACAAAATTCTAATCTTAGATTGACATCTCCGGCACGTAAATAATGAGTTAGCCCCGCTTTGCATGGTTTATACATATTTTTTTTTCATATTGGGGAGCAGCGGCTTTTGAGTCAGACGTCTTGTTCAATTTCTCTGCAAGATGTTGATGGATTTATCGCAAGTGAAGCCAACACATTGACTTCATCCTCTTGCAGGCCATTTTGGTATGTTTTTGCACGTGGTTTGGGGATGGACCAAAAATCTATTAAATTTTCTGCTAACCGGCTGAAGGTTCTTACGTGCGGTTGTCTTCTTTCCGAATACCTTGTGAAATATAATTCCGCGGCTAACGTCGCATTCTTATCTGATAACATATAGCATTCCATCATGTTACATTTTCATAATTTTCGAAGTTCATTGTAAAGTTTTATTTAGTTTTGTTATACTTTGACACCTAACATGCTGGTGCATCATACCAGCTCATAATGCCAGAGTTGTTATCGAATTTTTAAATACAAACTTTGGCAATTATTTGATACATTATGTTCCATCATAGTATGTATGGTTATCACCATAGCAACATTAACTTTTAAATACATACATTAGTTTTAGATAGAACAAAATGAATTTTTGTTAATTATTCAATAACTATAAGAAATATACCCCACAAACTATATATATTTGTTATCAGAAGAAAATAACAAATTATTTTAAGTCATAGCCAACTATAGTTTCCATTTAAAAAAATAAAGTTACGTCTAAAATCTCGAAAATAAAAGGTGTGAAAAAAATTCTACCTACGCCACTGAATTCTTCGTAAAAAGTTGCCCATATAATGTTTTATTTATAATACTCTCTCTTTGATAATAAGTGAGATATTCGCGTTTGTTGTTTTTGCAAAATTTTCAGTTTTTGCCGATAGGGCGAAAACAAAAGACGATAGCTGTTCGGAGTTTTCGGCATTAGCATTTTCTCGAAAAAGGAGATCATGACATGTAAGCTACTTTTTTTCTATTTCTTTTAGTTTCGGAGATAGCCTATGTGGACATCGAAATTGGGACACCCTGTACACATAATTTATACGACCCGATAGGTAAGAGGCAAATAGTTTCATAAACTTAGGAGATAAGCCAAAAGCACTAAGTTTATACAAGAGGACGTCATGATGAATCATGTCGAATGCTTTAGAAAAATCAGTGTATACCACATCTACCTGACCGCCCCTATCCAAAGATTCACAAATTACCTCAGTAACCACCGCGAGGTTGAACCTGTGAATAAATCATCTTGTAAATAATCTGTTCAAATACCTTAGCGAAATTGGACAATAACGATATTGGTCCATAATCAGTAATGTTGGTACGTTCGCCATGCTTGAATACAGGAACAATGCGTGAGCGCTTCCAAAGTTTAGGAAACGAGCAAGTGCTTAAGGACTAGTCTTCCAATAGCAGAATATAGACCTTTGACAACGATATTTAATCTTACTACTCTTTTGCAAGGAAAAAGGCAGAAGAATACAGGTGATGCATTAAATTGGATATCTTTTTGCCATAAAACAACTCACCGTACATTTTGGGAATTAATACTCTTTTTTTTTAAGCTAATTTAACATAAATGATTAATTTTTTGAATGTATATTTATTTTACAAGATATTCATTTATTAGACAATAATTTTCACTTAGTACTCTCGTTACCACGAGAGTGTGTAAACTACGCTTTTGACTAATGACCCTACATTCTCAGTTCAACGCTCGCTACACTTCCATATAACACAAGTCTATCCAATATACCCTAATTGAAACAGATACGCAGCGAGAAGTTTTGTGCCTTCTTGATAGTTCTTCAGGGTTATATTTTCATTCTCTCTACCGGCGTTTATGTCTTTATTACCCAACGGTAGTAATAAAATGTTCTTGTCTACAATTTTTTGTAATATGTTCATAATTACGTATGCTCTATCATCTCGAATCATGCTCGGATCTTCTTTGTAAATCTGAATGGTAGCTCGTCTGGCAGCTGTATAATTAGGAGTTCTGCTGTTTTCCAACCAAGGTCTTGTAAAAGTTGGAACGTCCATTTCAATCTTGTTTTTAATTCCCATTTTTTCCGCTGTATTCGTAATATGTTTATTCGTCAGTTGGATTATTTTTTCAACAGCTTGATTGGGAACTATCTTTATCATAAAATCTTTCTTTACAACGGAAAAATCTTTCTTATCACAGGTACAAATTTGAGTGGGTTCAATATATATTGATGGTAACCTCCAGAAATGCATTAGCAACTTCACTTGATCCCAATCCTTTTGGAAAGGTTCTAAGTTGGGACTAAAAAAAAATTTGGAGGTAAAATTTTAATTTCAAAAATTGATTTATTAATTACGCTAATTCAGTCACATCAAAATCTTGTATTTTCTCGTAAAGCATTTCCTCATCCGGTGAGATCTGCATAACTGTGTCGCTAAATTCTGGAATAAGAACATGCCCTCTATCACCGATTAAGGTGTCGAAAATTTTATCTGCATCATCTTTAGGTTCTGTATCAGAACCTTCAACTTTTTCGATAGTAACTTGAGCGTGTATGATACCTTAAATGAAGGAATCTTAAATAAAAGTATTCTTATAATTGTCAAAAATTTACCAACTGCGCCGTAAGTTATACAAGGATACTTTTCTCCAATCCATTGCGAATCACACATAACTACATAATCAATGTTACACAAAAAGTCTAATTTTTTCGTCATCAAGAATTCATCCAAACCTTCACTGCGACAATGATGCATAGATTCAATGATGAATTTAATGTTTATAGGTAATTTTGAAGTTGTTAAGATTCCTTCGATGGCATGAAACCAGCACATAAGAGCAGATTTACCCGAAGCAACACCATTACCATACAAAAATTTATCGATCTGTGTCACTACCCACGGATCAGTATTCCATTTGCTTTCATCTGGAAGTGGGACGTCTAAATATCCATAAATACATACCTACGATACGTTAAAATTAGATTTTATAAATATTATAATTACACACTAACCGTTTTTTTAGTACGATCATTTCCTATACTAGCCAAAATTACAGGCGGTAATCTAACTCTTTTTCCATCCAACTCATGAAATCCAATATAAAAGCACTCGTATGCAATGCCCAATCTAATCATCCAACCTTCAACGAATTTAATCATATGTATCATATCTTTTATATGGTCGTAATTTCCCGATACACTTTTAATTTTAACTGCATCGTTCAAATCGTCTATAAACTGTTGACGTCTCGAATCGCAGAATTGTAAATGTTTCAATAAATCCGGTTGGATGGCAATCTTTTTGCTTTTTTCGAGAGCGTAATATTCTCCATAGGTCATGTTCGTAGTACGTGTTTCACTGTGTTCTGTACGATAAGTATGCGGATACACCATTTTTTTTTTAATTAAAAATATCTTACTTATTTACTTGATGTTCTTGTGCAAAAACGGAAAACGTATTATGTAATCAGTATAAAAGTATGCAAACACGTACAGACACGCCACCAATATATACTCTACTAACATAATTGTTTAAATTAGACGAGAAAACGGGCATAGTAGTTTTGACAAGTTAACGACAACACATTTAGAATTAATACTTTGCAACAAGCCTACTTTATAAATTTTTATTGTAATAATTTGATTCAAAAAAGTGATGTGCTTCTAAAGACTGTAAGCAATCTTCATTTGGATGTAACGACATGCAGAATGTTAATAGACACTGGTAATAACCACGGACATCGGTTCGTCGCGTTATACAGTTTTATTAGTGTCGAAAAACATTGCGTTCACTTTTTTACGGCGACACGACCGACGCGTCATCGGTCAGGAAAGTTATGTCCGGAGCTTTTACGCGTTCGCAATATCCAGGACCAAATGTCCACGGATTTCAGTCCATGTTCGATTACCATGCGACCGAAACACAGACAGGTTCCTCTCCTTGTCAGGAATAATAAAAGGATGTTTATGATTTCGGACAGTGCCCATTTGCGATGGTGCCGTCGGTCCTATGGCGAACGCGAATGTCGATATCTGGCTGTAAATACCGCACCGATGCGTCGTAAATCGTGATGGATTATCCTGTCCTATACAACCCGGTAGGACCTCGTAGAGGACATCATCGCCGTTGAAAATCTCGCCCAGCCATTTTCAGAGTTCTACGAACCAAGGTTGAATTTATGGACGCGCAGGATTTCGCAACTGTCGCCGTCACGCACTTAAAACGGACGTCCGAGAGAGGGTATTTGCCGTTTTTGCACCCTTGTAATATGTCAGTTTATTACTCTGGAAACACGGATTCCGTCCAACGTTATCCATCGTCGTAAAGAATACTACCACTAAAGAAATACAGTGATGAATCGTTGTATTTTTCTTGTAACAAACAACAAAACAAAATTTAATAAATAACAAAATTTTTATCATTTCATAATAATAATAGTAGGATCGTTTTAGTATTTAACTGTGTAATTACGGTGAACGATCGCCAGGTGGCGGCATAGCTGTCGGCCATTACGGCGTGAAGTGCGGTTATGCCGGTGGCGGTGGCGACCGACGCGTCGCGTCCCCCGCGGCCAATAAATTAATCAACAGTGCCACTAATGCGAGGGGCGGCGTTCCCGTCCCCAGGTTCTGCGGGGGGTTCGTTTGCGCTTGCGAGTATTAAAATAACCCGCACGCTGACGGATTTGGCGAGCCGCCTCTTATTCGACCCACCTCCCTTATCAATACCTCGCTTATCCTGATTTACGGTTATAAGGTGTTCGTCTCGCCGAATACGTTATTGTAGACGTTCGCACATTTTTACCACCAACGAAGCCCCCTGTACGTTTTTGTTGCTGTCAGTTTAATTGAAAAATGATGGCTATAAGGTGAAACGGGATTACGGTCTCCCCAACGTTGCCACTTTATATGGCTTTTAAAAGGTCTTTGTAATGTACTCGGATTTATTTTATAATATAGTATAAAGTAAAGTTATAAAATCATGAAATTTCAGCCAAGTACATTAACATAAAATGTAATTCCTTTGAGACATGGAACGATTTTCGAATTACTTTCATCATTTTGATTGCTCTAGTGGATTCAAGTGGATTTAATACACTATTTCCTGCTGGATTCATTCCTATGATAACACAGACAAGAATCTTCAGAGAGCTCAATTGATGGCAAACTCCACATTCTTCTACCCATGAAGTAATTTTTACATAAATTATACATTCATAACAAATATAGACATCAAGACAAACGGACCAATTTATCGCAATAAGCGATATCTAAATTAAAATTGTAATTTTAAATAAATAATTATGGCTACTAAAAAAGTAATACCAAATGATGTGCTAACAGGACTGAGCGAATGAACATATTTGAGTTATGAAACGAATCGACAGTCAGTTACTACAAGGAAGGAAATAGATACAAAAAAAGTGTAGTAAAAGATAGATGAAAGGCAGACTAGAGAAGAAAACAAACACGTATAGGTCAAGAAGAAGATAGTTGAAGAGATAGCAGATTCGCGTTGCATTGCGAACAACGGCAAGCAAATCGTTCCAGAACGCAATCGATTGCACTGTAAAAGATCTGTGGTAGATTTCAGTACTATGGACTGGAAACATGAGTGTAGACTTCGACATTCATCGAGTGGGCAAGACATGTGATGCTAAAAAGTGAAAGGCATCAGACAAATAACCAGGAGTGTGGGTATGGACAATTTTGTACAACATAGTAAGCATGCGAAATGATCTACGACTCTGGCAAGTCATCATCTCCAGGTTGTTACGATATGGAGTAATGTGCTGAAACTTTCCTAAATCAAAAATGTATCGTATACAATTGTTCTGAAGTCTTTCCAATTCATCCAGAAGGGCTGCGGACAGATCGGAATACGCAGCATCGGCATAATCAATGTGTGAGTAAATGAGAGAATAGCAAAGATTACGACGTACAAGAGGAGGAAGGTAGCAGCGAAGTTTTTTCAAAGTATGGAAACAGAACTAAACCCTGTTACAGACTCCTTGAACTTGTGGCCGCCAAGATATTGCCGAATCCATTACCACACCAAGATTTTTAACCATATTAGAAAACGGAATAACGGTGTCGCCAAGCCTCAGTTGAAGAGTAGTTAAGGAATTAAATTGTGCCAGCAAGAAGCGAGTGCCAAATGCAATAGCTTGCGTTTTATCTGGATTCAGGTTAAGTCCATGACGTCTAGACCAGTTAAGCACGCTAGAGAGATCGTTGTTCATCTGCATACAAATGATAGTTATACGAGATACCATTACTAATACTATTTACGAAAATTTAGAAGAGCAAAGGATCCAGCATATTACCCTGGGGAACTCCATATTTGATGTCAACAGGAGAAGAAATTACAGATTCCACGCGGACACGCAAAGATCGATAGGAAAGGTAGGACTGGAACCAAGACACACAAGAAGAGGTAAAACCAATAGCAGAAAGCCTAGTTAACAGTATCAAAGGCCTCAATAAAGCAATCTCATTGAAGCCAGGCAGCGATTTGAGATAATGGCTTAAGTTTGCCGCAGCATATTATAGATAGCACTTTTCGCAGTCTTGGACTAACTTTTTCAATTGGGTTTTTAAGCTCCAAACTAAGGGACAGCCCTTACCGTACTGGCACCACCAGACATACAGGTGTCCGTTCAGCGAGTGACTTGAAAAAATGACAGAATTAACTGAGTATAACTCAACTACATCAAACAGGAGTGCCATCTTTGAAGTGTGGTGAATCCAAGGGTACATTCGAGTAATTGTGCGAAGCTGGGTGTTTGGTCTTCTCTGTAATAAGAAAGCAGATAAATCTGGCTGGTACAGTACTTACTAAGTACTAAGTACTACTTATTAAGGCACCCGACGATTTCAATGTTTAAATCTTACTTAACAAACCGAGGACAACTGGTACAAAACGGTAATTGCAAATCCACTATTAAAAAGGTTGGGATTGGTGTGCCGTAGGAATCTAGCTTGTGGCCAATTTTTTTCTTGCTGTATGTTAATGATCTCCCTCAATCCTTGAAAATATGCAGTACTATAATGTTTGCAGACACAACTCTGGTTAACGAGGCGATTTCCAATGATAAGCTAAAAATAATTGAGTTTCACACCAAATCCACTGATGCAACAGCTACTAAACTACTGAGAGTACTCCTAGAGAGTTCTCTGAAATAAAATGCACAGATACATGGAGTTAGAAAGAAACTCAGTTCGGTAGTTTTCCAAAGCATTATGTCTTATAGTGTGTTGTTCTGGAGAAGTTCCCCAGGGGCTGAACGAATATTTATAATACAAAAAAGAGCAGTTAGAGCGTTGATGAATGCAAAACAAATGAAGAGTTGTAAACCATTGTTTAAATAATTGAAAATAATGACTGTCTATTCGCTGTATATCTATAGATGCCTTATTTTCATAAACCAGAACAGTGTAGAGCGCAATATCATCAATACAGTACGAGGAACAACTCATCTCTATAAATTCCACACCACCGATTGACTATCAACAATCAATCAAATTTTAAGCCCTGGTAATATACCAGGGCTTAAAATTTTATAGCAACCTCATGATACAACTGCATCAATGCTCCATTACAAAACGAGATTACTTTGGTGAAAACCCATACTGCGGTATCAGTGAGTTCATGGATTCGCTGGGCAAACTGAAGCTGTAGAAATCTTGTCATATATTCTGTATTATTTTCTATAATGTTGTGAATTACATAATGAAATACTATAATGTATAATGTATCACGACCTGTAACTTTTGAATTTTTTGGAAATAAATTATTATTATTACTGGATCTTCCTTTATCTTGCATTATCTGATGGTTTGCTAGATGTCCAGAGTGTGGTCGTTCTTCTGGAATACATCTTCTAAAAACCTTTATTCATCCTTGAATTATATTTAAGAAATTACGAAAACTCGAATTCTTTTGATATCTTAATGAAATATTCATAATTTATGGAAGAAGGTGTATATTTTTTCATGAACCAACCCGTTGTTGAAAATCTCTCTTTGTCTTTGAGATAATAAGTAAGTATATATTTTGGGAACCATAATTTTGGATCGAATATAAAAAACGTCCTTTTGTAAACAATTATTTATTAGTCCCAAAAAAGAAGCAGATGTCCGAACTTAGATCAGCCATTAGATGGCAACGTATTCGGACCCACGTCCTGTTTTTCCCATTCTCCCCAACGTTCGATGGTCAAAAACGTGACCGAGAAGGCGAGGAGGGTACCACAAGCACGTGGCCACATTTAACACTCATTTATTTTTATATCTGATCGACGATTATCTACGCCACCGGATCCGGACACACGCACCACATTTCCGAACTACTCAGAACTCATCTTTATATTCAATTTGGAATTCTTAACACAAATTGATGCTAAAATACAATTTATTCGATTTAACTTGATTTAACGGTTGAAATCTTCGAATATAAAATATTATTCACGTCCATTCAATGCCTCTCTTTGGAATGAGAACGGCGTTCACACTCCTTAATTATAGTGTGAGTTGGGGCTTAAAATAACCGATAATTTAAAATCTCAAAGTGTGTTAATTATTGGTGAACGAGTGTCG